AGATTTGCTCAAAACACCTCCCCTAACGACCACCACCAGGCATCCGTACCCGGATGGGAATGATGTGGCTGGGACAGCCGATCACGGGCAGCCCGGCATCCATGAGCAGTTGGCGCATGTGTTTAACGTTGCGCTGGTGGGCGCGGCGCAGCATCTGCCCCTCGGGGCTCTTCAGGATCCGGACCGACTCCAGGGCCCCGGCTAGCATCATGGGGGGCAGGGCGGTGGTGAAGATGAATCCGGCGGCGTAGGAGCGCACCGTGTCGATCAGGGAGGCCGTGCTGGCCACGTATCCTCCCACGCAGCCGAAAGCTTTTCCTGCGGAATGGGGACAGAAGCATTACTCAGCGGTCTCTGCAGATCTGGGTTACGCTGCTCTGCGTTCTGGAGGCAACGCTTGTGTGAATTCCTTAGTTCCTTAAAAGATATCTGTACCCAAGCAATCCTAATCCTTTGCCAAGAAGAACTAATCTCTGCAGCCTGTACAAAATGCATTGCAAGATTTCTCGGTTGGCGTAATTCACTCTGCTTTTGTTAGTGATGGAGGGGGATGCAGAGAGGGCAGTGAAACCCTATTTCAGTTTGGTGTCGTGGTTAGGAGCGCGGACTCTAATCTGGGAGAACCGCATTTATTCCCCCACTCCTCCACATGCGGCTGCTGGTGTGACCTTGGGTCATTCACAAGTTCTTTCAGAGCTGTTCTTTCAAGAGCAGTTCTCTCAAGAGCTCTTTCAGCCCCACCTACCTCACAGGGTGTCTGTTGTGGGGAGGGGAAGGGAAAGGAGATTGTAAGCCGCTCTGAGACTCCTTTGGGTTGTGAAGGGCGGAGTATAAATCTACTCTCTTCATCTCTCTCTTCTCTATTTCAACCACTGCAGATCTTAATACCTGCCTCTACCTTCTGATGTTGCCCCAACCTTTCTAACTACATCGTAGCAGCTGCAGGGGCTATAAATGTCTCTTTTTACAAAAAGAAAGCAAGGGGGAAAAAACAGCTTGAAAGAGCAGAAATGCACAGAGTTAAATTCTGCACATCATTGCTACATCATACGCTTTTTCTTTACTCAGGACATAGGCACCTCCCTCCATATAGCAGATAGGAGGGGGCCATGGCTCAGTGGCAGAGCGAGCATCGGCTTGGCATGCAGAAAGGTCGCAGGTTCAATCCCCGGCATCTCCAGTTAAAAAGACCAGGCAGGAGGTGATAAGGAAGACCTTGACCTGAGACCCTGGCTCAGTGGCAGTGCCTCTGCTTGGCATGCAGAAGGTCCCAGGTTCAATCCGCGGCATCTCCAGTTAAAAGGGCCAGGCAGGAGGTGATGAGGAAGACCTTGACCTGAGACCCTGGCTCAGTGGCAGAGCCTCTGCTTGGCATGCAGAAGGTCCCAGGTTCAATCCTCAGCATCTCCAGTTAAAAGGACCAGGAGGTGATGTGAAATACCTCTGCCTAATATTCCCAAAGAGCTGCCGCCAGTCGGGGCAGACAAGACTGACCTTGATAGACCAGTGTCCTGTCTCAGGATAAGGCAGTTTCATGTCTGTTCATTATTAAGGCAGGGTCACTGGCTCAGTGGCAGAGCCTCTGCTTGGCATGCAGAAGGTCCCAGGTTCTATCCCCGGCATCTCCAGTGAAAAGGACCAGGCAGGAGGTGATGGGAAAGACCTTGACCTGAGACCCTGGCTCAGTGGCAGAGCCTCTGCTTGGCATGCAGAAGGTCCCAGGTTCAATCCCCAGCCTCTCCAGTTCAAAGGACCAGGCAGCAGGTGATGAGAAAGACCTCTTTCTGGGAGCTTGGAGACCTGTTGCTAGTCTGAGTGGAGTTCCCAATATGGTCCCCGTGGGGACCTGGCTGCCCCGTCTGTCTCTTCCCTCCCTCTAATGGCCCTTCGCTCATCCAAACTCACCCAGGGTGCCGGAGACGATGTCTATCTTGCCCATTACTTTGTCCCGCTCGCCGATGCCAGCCCCGTGGGCCCCGTAAAGTCCCACGGCGTGGACCTCATCCACAAAGGTGATGGCTCCGTAGCGGTGTGCCACGTCACACATTTCTTCCAGGGGGCAGATGGCACCTGTGGGGACACACCAGGACAACGCATGAGCAATGCAGAGCCTTGCTAGGTGTTAAAATAAGAAGAGCCCTGCTGGATCAGAGCAGTGGTCCCTCTAGTCCAGCATCCCGTCTCACACAGTAGCCAATAGGTTCCTCTGCAGGGCAAAGAACAGGGCAGAGAGGCCAAGGCCTTCCCCTGATAAGGAACACCAGAAGAGCCCTGCTGGGTCAGACCAGGGAGGGTCCCTCTAGTCCAGCATCCTGTCTCACATAGGGGCCAGCCAGTTCCTCTGGAGGGCCAACGACAGGGCAGAGAGGCCGAGGCCTTCCCCTGATAAGAACATCAGAAGAGCCCTGCTAGATCAGACCAGTGGTCCATCTAGTCCAGCATCCCGTCTCACTCAGTGGCCAACCAGTTCCTACGAAGGGCCAACAACAGGGCTGAAAGGCTGAAGTGTTCAAGAGAACCATCAGAAGAGCCCTGCTAGATCAGACCAGTGGTCCATCTAGTCCAGCATCCCGTCTCACTCAGTGGCCAACCAGTTCCTACGAAGGGCCAACAACAGGGCTGAAAGGCTGAAGTGTTCAAGAGAACCATCAGAAGAGCCCTGCTAGATCAGACCAGGGAGGGTCCCTCTAGTCCAGCATCCTGTCTCACATAGGGGCCAGCCAGTTCCTCTGGAGGGCCAACGACAGGGCAGAGAGGCCGAGGCCTTCCCCTGACAAGAACATCAGAAGAGCCCTGCTGGGTCAGACCAGGGAGGGTCCCTCTAGTCCAGCCTCCCGTCTCACACAGGGGCCAGCCAGTTCCTCTGGAGGGCCAACAGGCCATAGGGCCCGAGGACTTCCCCTGATGTTGCCTCCTGGCTCTGGGATTCAGGGGCTTAGTGCCTCTGAAGGCAGAAGTTCCCCTCAGCCACCATGGCTAGTAGCCACTGACAGACTTCTCCTCTGTGAATCTATCGAATCCCCTTTTAAAGCTGTTTATTCCTGTGGCCATCACCCCATCCTCTGGCAGCAGATTCCACATTTTAGTCACTCTCTGTGTAAAGAAGTATTTCTTCATAAGAACCTACTGGATTCGACTCTCACTGTTCCACTGCAGACCAACCCCACTACCCGCTGAAAACAGTGTCTTTTGTCACTCTGGTTGCCCCCGGTACGTGGTTTTTATTCCCTACCTTTCTTTCCCCATAGGCTGCCGTGGGGTAGCAATACTGGACCCAGGGAAGGAGGAACGGCCCCTTCCCTCTGCAGGGGCAGCAGCCGTGGTGCTCAGACCCGGGGCCACCAAGCCCCCCCCCCCCCGACAGAGCTGCAGGGGACGCAAGAACAGGACATGCAAGACATGATTGGGCGGCTACCATCCATGGAGTGCACGGTCTCAAAGGCCACAATCTTTGGGGTGCCGGGTTTGGCCTGGCTCAGGAGCTCCTCCAGGTGCTGAGGATCGTTATGCCGGAAGACGTACTTGGGCGCACCACTGTTCCGGATGCCCTGGATCATGGAGGCGTGGTTCCCGGCGTCCGAGTAGAACTCACACCCTGTGGAATGGAACATAAGAGAAGCCAATGTTGGGTCAGGTCAATGGCCCATCCAGTCCAACGCTCTGTCACACAGTGGCCAAAAATACCAGGTGCCACCAGGAGGTCCACTAGTGGGGCCAGGACACTAGAAGCCCTCCCACTGTTGCCCCCACCAGCACCAAGAATACAGAACATCACTTGCCCCAGAGTCCCTGTCTATACCTTGTGGCTAATAGCCACCGATGGACCTCTGCTCCATATGCTTATCTAATTCCCTCTTGAAGCCATCCATGCTTGTAGCCACCACCACCACCTCTTGTGGCAGTGAATTCCAAGTGTTAATCACTCTTTGGGTGAAGAAGGACTTCCTTTTATCCGTTCTAACCTGACTGCTCAGCAATTTCATGGAGTTCCCACCAGTTCTTGTATCGTGAGAAAGGGAGAAAAGTATTCCTTTCTCTACCTGCTCCATCCCATGCATAATCCTGTCAACCTCGATCATGTCACCCCTCAGCCGTCGTTTCTCCAAGCTAAAGAGCCCCAAGCACATAAGAACATAAGAAGAGCTCTGCTGGATCAGACCAGTGGTCCATCTAATCCAGCATCCTGTTTCTCAGAGTAGCCAGCCAGTTCCTCTGGACGGCCAACAACAGGGCAGAGAGGCCAAGGCCTTCCCTTGAAATCACCTCCGAGCATTGCTACTCAGAGGTTACTGCCTCTGAACATGGAGGTACCCTTCATTCACCATGGCTAGTAGCCATTGATATACTTATCCTCCATGAATCTGTGCAATTCACTTTTAAAGCTGTTCATTCCTGTGGCCATCACTCCATCCTCTGGCAGGGAATTCCACATTTTGATCCCTCTCTGTGCAAAGTAGCATTTCCATTTTTGTCCATCCTGAACCTACTGCCCGTCAGCTTCATTGGACGCCCTCGACTTCTAGTATTTTGGGAGAGGGAGAAAACGTTCTCTTTGTCCGCTCTCTCCACCCCGTGAGTAATTTTATGAGCCTTTATCCTATCCCGCCTTAGTCGTCTCCCCTAAACTGAAAAGTCCCCGACTCTTCGGCCTTTCCTCACAGAACTCTTGAGCAGAATGCCCTCCTCGTGTTTTGACTCAAGTTGGAAGGGAAACGTGGGCTCCCTGCCTGGCTGGAAGGGCTGGCGACAGCATACCCCGAGGTGGGGCAGCGGCCCATGACTTTGGTGGGTTCCACTGCCAGCAACCCCCAACTCACGCATCTTCCCTGCTGGCTACCCTTTCCCCACCTGGTCACAAGTCTCCCACTACCTGTGCTCCTGGTTAAACACACTATTGTTGGCGAAGAGCATGGAGGTGATGAGAAAGACCTTGACCCGAGACCCTGGTGAGGAGGAGGAGGAGGTGGTGGTGGTGGTTGGATTTATACCCTGCCCTTCACTACCCAAGGGAGTCTCAGAGCAGCTTACAAACTCCTCTCCCTTCCCCTCCCCACAACAGACACCCTGTGAGGTAAAAGAAGAAGAGGAGTTTGGATTTATACCCCGCCCTTCACTACCCGAAGGTGTCTCAGAGCGGCTTACAAACTCCTTTCCCTTCCCCTCCCCACAACAGACACCCTCTGAGGTAAAAGAAGAAGAAGAGATTGGATTTATACCCTGCCCTTCACTACCCAAGGGAGTCTCAGAGCAGCTTACAAACTCCTCTCCCTTCCCCTCCCCACAACAGACACCCTGTGAGGTAGTAGAAGAAGAAGAAGAGATTGGATTTATACCCCACCCTTCACTACCCAGAGGAGTCTCAGAGCGGCTGACAAACTCCTTTCCCTTCCCCTCCCCACAACAGACACCCTGTGAGGTAAAAGAAGAAGAAGAAGAGATTGGATTTATACCCCGCCCTTCACTACCCAAAGGAGTGTCAGAGCGGCTTACAAACTCCTTTCCCTCCCCCTCCCCACCACACACACCCTGGGAGGTAGGTGGGGCTGAGAAAACTCTGACAGAAACTGCTCTTTTTCAAGAACACCTCTTATCAGAACTACGGCTTGCCCAAGGTCATCCAGCAGGTGCAAGTGGAGGAGTGGGGGCTCAAACCCGGTTCTCCCCAATTAGACTCCACGCACAACCACGGCACCAAACTGGCTCTCACCAAACTGGCATGCTTGGCATGCAGAAGGTCCCAGGTTCAGGGCCTCCCAGGCATCTCCAGTTAGAAGAACCAGGCAGCAGGTGATGAGAAAGGGCTCCCAGCAGCTGTGGAGACCGCACCTCCAACACTGTCCTCTGCCTAGTGCCATCAGGCAAAGGGTGTGCAGGCAAGGTGGGCAGCTGTGAATCCAGGGGGTGGGAAGGCAGGCAAGCAGGGGAAGGACACACGGGCAGGTGCGGGGCCACCTGTGGGGTGGAAAGGGAGGTGCGACCGGCAGGATCGGTGGTCACAGAGAGGGGACCCGTAAGAACTCTTTGCCCAGGGCCCCCCCCAAAACCTAGAACTGGCCGCACTGGCTGGCCCGAGGGTCTAGCCTACGGCATTTCCCTGGACTTAGTTACCGGGCATCATGCGGGCCAGAGTGAAGAGGGTGGAGTCATTGGCCACGAAGCAGGAGGAGAAGAGCAGGGCGGCGTCTTTCTTGTGCAGGCCGGCCAGCTCCCGCTCCAGATCCACGTGGAACTTGCTGGTGCCCGAAATATTCCTGGTGCCCCCGGCGCCAGCTCCGTGAAGATTCAGGGTCTCTCTGGGACAGAAAGAGGAGAATGGCGCGATCACAAGATGGTGGAACGAAGCAAAAGGGAATCGCTCCAGGTCAGGAGTGAGAAATATCAACAGAACGGGGGAGAATGACGGCTGGTGGGGAGCAGTGTTCCCTCTAAGCTGAGTTAGTGTGAGCTAGCTCACAGGTTTTTAGCCTCCGGCTCACGCATTTTTGCCTTAGCTCAGGAAGGGATGGCTCCAGAGCAAACTAATTTATGCAGAAGCCAGATCGCTCGCTCACAACTTGAATGCCAGTAGCTCCCAAAGTAGATTTTTTTTGTCAGCTAGCTGCCATAGTGACTGGTGGGGGGAACGTCTGCTCCTTGGTATGCGAACTTTCGATTCTCCTGCTGTCTTGGTGATGCTCCCTTATCTGTATGTTTTATGTGCCTGACCTTGAGTGCCTAGCTGTAACATCATCTCTGGGATCGTGGGGCTGTTACATTTTGGCGGACCCCTTCTATTGCCCTGATTGGCTCTATGCTAACGAGTGGCCCCTTAGAACATTGTATATCCGTTCACCCCGCTCTTTATGCTTTAGTCTTAACACAGAACCGAAGTAGAGATGCTCTGCCAATACTGTATCAATAAACTTTCCTTCTGAAAAAGCGAGTTGTTGGTTCTGATTGCTGCAAGAGTCTGTGTTGAGATTATGGTAACAGTATTAAAGTCCAAAAAATGATCAAAAAACCCAGAAACCTGTATGCGTACTGCGCTTACAAAAACAGTTTCAGTAATTAAAGTGACAGTGTAATAATCCAGAGTGTGAAAATACACACGATTAGCATTTCACAAGGTCAGTACAAAAATAAGTGAATTAATGAGATGTTAACGATGATCTGCAGTAGCTCAAGTGGTTAAGACACTGAACTGCAGGCTGTGGAAGGTCAGTAGTTCAGCAGTTTGAGACCCGGGTGCCGCATGATGGAGTGAGCTCCCATCTCTAGTTCCAGTTCCTGCCAACCTAGCAGTTCGAAAGCAAGAAATTGCAAGTAGATAAATAGGTACCACTTTGGTGGGAAGGTAACAGCGTTCCGTGCGCCTTGGTGTTTAGTCATGCCGGCCACATGACCACGGAAACATCTCCGGACAGCGCTGGCTCTTCGGCTTTGAAACGCAGATGAGCACCGCAACCCTAGAGTCGGATTCGACTGGCTTTCGAGCAAGGGAACCTTTACCTTTTAACGATGATCTCCAGAATGTTCAGCCATTTCGATAGTAATCTTCTTCCAAACAAAGATGAAGAGTATGCGACGTGTCTAGTCAGTGTCTCAACTGGTACCTATCAATAAGTCTCACTGAAGTGTCATGACATCATTGTATAAGATTCCAAATGATTCTTAGAAGGCACTTTACAGCATTTTTGTGCTTCTTAGTTACCGGGCATCATGCGGGCCCTTTTTGCCCAGTTGAGACATGGACTAGAGACTTCGGCTCAGCTTGGAGGGCAGCTTCAAGAGAGCGGGCAGGTGGGGCTCCTGTGACCACAGACTCCAGGGCATCCGGGCCACTAAACCGTGGTGGACAGCCAGGAGGGTGACAGTACCAGTGACCAATGTTCCCTCTAAGTTGTGGAGTCTTGTGAGCAAGAATTCTACTTTGTGAGCGATAGGCATTAAAGTTGTGAGCGAGCGATTTGGCTACTGCATCAATTAGTTTGTTCGGGAGCCATCCCTTTCTGAGCGAAGACAAAATTGTGTGAGCCGGAGGCTAAAAGACTGTGAGCTAGCTCACACTGACTCAGCTTAGAGGGAACACTGCCAGTGACCAGTCCCAAGGAGGGTTGGGGTTTCTCCACAACAACAGGAGGGGGAAATTAAATCCCATCCTGAGGCCCACAACCTCCAGAGAGGGTGTGTGTAGGGGACAGAGGAATGGCGTTTTAAATCCAGTTTATTTTCTGTGCCCAGGTTGTGTTGATGGGCGTGTATTTAAGTTCTGTGCCTAGGACGTATATAATTCAAATAAACCTTTTTTGAGTTTAAGACCTGATGTGCCTTGACCACTTGGTCCTCCCCGCTTGGCATGTTACCAGAAACAAAGGGGAGGCCAGGGAACCCAAACGGGCCCAAATTGCAGGGGTGGCCAACTCTCCAGGGGGCGCCCAAAGACTGTAATACCAACTTCCCAAGGTTGGGGAATCAGCCAGAGGGGTCTCACTGTCCCTCTAGGAAGGTGGTGTCGATTCAGTGAGGGGTGGCCGCGTGTAACGAAAGGAAACAGCCTCACCAGGCAGGGTGGGAAGGCAAAAACAGGGCCTTGTGAGCCACAGAACGGCTGCTCAGTCTCCCAGGGCTGAGGGCGGGTCCCCGTTTCGCCACAGGCCTGGAGGGACATCTCTGCCTTACATGCGTAAGTCAGGCAGGGCACAGATGTCGTTTGGCAGAGAGTTCCGCCGGGCTGGGGCCAGGGCCGAAAAGGCCAGCCGGATATCTTTGGGCCCGGGAACCACCAGAAGATTCTTATCTGCTGACCTTAGTGCCCTTCGGGGGACATATCAGGAGAGGCGGTCCTGAAGGTACGTAGGTCCCTGACCATTAAGGGCTTTCAAGGTAAGCACCAAAACCTTGAATCTGATCCGGTGCTCAACAGGCAACCAATGGTAGGTTATGCAGCGTATGAAAAATTCTGAGGCCTGAGAGATTTTACAGTTTGTCTGACCAGGGCTTTTTTTGTGGAAAAAGCCCAGCAGGAACTCATTAGCATAATAAGCCACACCCAACAGCAGAAACGTATTAGCATATTAGGCCACACCCCTGACAGCACAGCTCATTGGCATTATAGGCCACACCCCCATGTTACCAGAAGTGTGCTCATCCAGCCACACCCACCTTTTGCTTCTTATTCTGTTTACCTTGTTTGTTGTCAAAACCCAGGGCCTTTTTTTGGAGCAGGGACTCCTTTGCATGTTAGGCCACACACCCCTACTGTAGCCAATCCGAATGAGTTTCTGCTGTTGGGTGTGGCCTGTTATGCTAATGAGTTCCTGCTGGGCGTGGCCAACTTGGAAGCCAGCCGGAACTCCGTTCCTGTGCGTTCCTGCCCCAAAATAGCCCTTCCTTGCACTCCCGCTGGCCTTGCAGGTCCACTGCCGGGCCCCTCATGGGGCTCGGCAGTGGAGCTGCAAGGCCGGCGGTGGCGTCCGGGACCGTTGGGGGCGGGGTGTGTGGCCTTATGACACACTTCCGGTGATGTCAGGGGGTGTGGCCTTATGACACACTTCCGGCGATGTCAGGGGGTGTGGCATATGCTAATGAGTTATGCTAATGAGTTCCCCTAGCTCTTTTTCTACGAAATGACCCCTGAGTGACAGACAGTTTAAACTAGGATTAGGTTTGGATTAGGAATGACTAAGAAGCATGCAGAGGGGTTGTCTATCACCCTTGAGTTTAGGGTTGCCAGCTCTAGGTTGGGAAACACCTGGAGATTTTTGGGGTGGAGCCTGAGGAGGGCGGGGTTTGGGGAGGGGAGGGGCCTCAGCGGGGTAGAATGTCACAGAACCCACCCTCCAAAGCAGCCATTTTCTCCAGGGGACCAGATCATGGTCATCTGGAGATCAACTGTAAAAGCTGGAGATCTCCAGGTATCCCCTGGAGGTTGGCAGCCCTACTTGAGCTACACAGACTTCAGGACAGCCTGTAAAATTGGCCACTCCTCCATTTTAACCTCATACGATAATTCCGTCTACGGGCTTAGCTTGAGAGGGCGATGAGCCCAAGCTCGTCCAGGGACTTCCGTGGCTCACATGGGAATTCGAACCCGGTTCCCCCAAGCCTTAGTCCAATACACCAGCCACTACAACCACACCGGGTGGATGTGAACAGGGCCCAGCCTCTCACCGTATGGCCGCCAGCACTCGAGGGTGGCGGCTCATGCCCAGGTAGTCGTTGCTGCACCAGACAGAAACTTTCTGTGCTTCGGTTTCGGCGCACGAATAGTCCTCGGCGAAGGGATACGCATGGGCCTGGCGATTCACGGTTTTGAAGATCCGGTAGGTGTGGTCCTGCTTCTTCTCCAGGATCTTGGCCTTGAAGAACTCGTCGTAATCGAACACGGAGCTCCCTGCAAGGGTGCAAAAGGGCTCATTTACATTTGCAGGGTACCTTTCTACATTCCTCTACCATGGATGACTATGTAACTTAATGAGTGGTTTGTTTATTTACTTCGTTTGTACCCCTCCGTTTCTCCAGCGGGGACCCAAAGCAGCTCACACTGTTCTCCGTTTTATTTTCACAACAACCCTTTGAGGTAGGCTGGGCTCAAAGAGAGTGTCTTCCAATGGGCTTCTGTGGCAGAGTGGGGATTTGAACCTGGGTCTCCCAGATCCTAGTCTGACACACTAACCTCTACACCAATAGAAGAAGAGGAGGAGGAGGAAGTTGGATTTATACTCTGCCCTTCACTTGGAGTTTCAGAGCGGCTTACATTCTCCTTTCCCTTCCCCTCCCCACAACAGACACCCTGTGAGATACGTGGGGCTGAGAGAGCTCTCTGGAGAACTGCTCTTTCAAGGATAGCTCTGAGAAAACTTGTGAGTGACCCAAGGTGTGGCGTCCTTGCTTATTGGGGAGACGATTTTACCTTTAAACACGCTTTGTGTACTTAAACTTGGTAGATTTCTGCTGCCACCAGGAATTAAAAATTCCAAATCTCTCTCTCTCTCTCTGCTGGTAGAATGACCTAGGGTCTGGGCACTTCAGAGGACTATGTGTCCCTGAGGAAGTACCGTACTGATTTCTGGGATAAGTTTAAACAAAAATTGATTTATTTAATAAAGAACAAAATAGGTTTCTGGTTATTTTGAACAGCTCCTGACGGAAGGAACTTGTAAATATAACTGGCAAAGCTTGGTGCTACAAACAGTCTCTCAAACTCCTCTCTCTCTCTCTCTCTCTCTCTCTCTCTCTCATATATGTAGCCACACAGACTAAACTCTTTGTCTTAGGCACACAAGATAAACCATTTGTCTAACCACACAGTTTAGATACAACTTGTTTCTTTGCCACATAGACTCTCTCATAAGACTCTTATAGTCACACAGACTATCTCCAAAACTCTCTGTCACACCATTCTCTCCAAAGACACACAGAACTGTCATAAAACATCTCCCCCCCTCACACTCTCAGTCATCAGCCATTCACAGCACACTCATCTCCCCCTGTCGCCCTCCTTACATTACTGCAGTCAAGCGCAAAAGACACACACACACCAAAACATGGAATCATTACAGTTGCACTCATTCCAAAAAGTGTGGGGAAGAGAATCACAGGAATCTTTTTTTCGGTGTTCCACAAACTTTACCAACTTCTTCATGCTGTACATTTTGAGTGAGAAAAACCTTAAATCTTTCAGTCATTCTAGAAGGGAGAATATATCCCAGGTTTTTTTAAAGTACTTCACCACTTCCCAGTGTCTTTATCGGAAAAATGGGGGGGGGTTTGTCCTTATAAGAACATTGTCTGAACTTTGCCAGTCCCCCCCCCAAGCCTTCCCACTAAGTTTATGACAAACCAGTTATACTGCCAGACAAACTAGTGAACAGATTTAGAAATAAGACTCCTGGTGTTCCCTCTAAGCTGAGTTAGTGTGAGCTAGCCTACAGGTTTTTAGACTCCGGCTCACACATTTCTGTCTTAGCTCAGGAAGGAGGGCTCCAGAACAAACTAATTCATGCAGTAGCCAAATCACTCACTCACAACTTGAATGCCGGTAGCTCAGGAAGTAGAATTTTTGCTCACAGGACTCCACAGCTTAGAGGGAGCATTGGTCCTCCTAACCAGTGTTCCCTCTAAGCTGAGTTAGTGTGCGCTAGTTCACAGTTTTTTAGACTCCAGCCCACACATTTTTGTCTTAGCTCAGGAAGGAGGGCTCCAGAACAAACTAATTCATGCAGTAGCCAAATCACTCACTCACAACTTGAATGCCGGTAGCTCAGGAAGTAGAATTTTTGCTCACAGGACTCCACAGCTTAGAGGGAGCATTGGTCCACACACACACACCAAAACATGGAATCATTACACAAGGTGACGCCAGCAGCTGCTTGTGGAGGAGTAGGGAATCAAACCCGGTCCTCCCGGATTAGAGTCCGTGCTCCTAACCACAGAGTGCTAAGGAGCTACTCAACTTCTTTGGCAGGCCCAGGCTCCATGTTTGCTAAAAAATTAAAATAAAAGGTAAAATAAAAATTACAACAGCAACGAACTTGAGCATGTCAGTCAGAAGATTATTCTTCCCTTGTCACATGAGAACCAGGATAAATATAGGGAAGGGAATCAAGCTTAACCTCCTTTAGAAAACTCAAATGCAGCAGCAGTTAAGGTGATCTATTGCAATGGGAGGGGGCTTCTCTCTATATAAAAAACATGTGTGCTGAATTAATGGGTTTTGTTACCTTAGCATAGTTTGGCCAGGGTGCCAAAAGCATGCCTTGATTCTGGTATCTAGATAGGCAATAGGGCACAGTTGGGCAGACATACAAGACGCTGGGAATTCAGCAAACAGAGCTCCAAGAGCAGTAGAGAAGAACAAGAGTTTAGTAGCATCTTAAAGACTAACAAAATTTGTGACAGGGTATGAGCGTTCACGAGTCTCTGCTCACTTCAGATACAGTTAGAATATGAGTCCATCTGTCATAATTGGAGTGACTTCAGATGCCGAATGACAATAGCAGGTGAATGATAATAGCAGGCTTCATTGGATTAGATATGATATGCAGAGGGGTAGTAGGCATGCAGAAATCAGCATTGGTAATGAGACAGGAAACCTTGGTCTCTGTTCAGTCCAGGAATATGCATTGCCTTGAGCTTTATTATCAGTTGCAGCTCAGCCGTCTCTGTTTTTTGGAGAAGAAGCCCCAAGAGTTTCCTTTTCTCTAAAAAAAAACCAGGCATGCAGGATCTGCACTTGTATGCCTCCCCCAACTCCATTTTCCCAAACTGAAATGGCACTGGGGAGGTGCTAAAGGCCTCATTCAGAAAACTTACAGGGACTGATGGGCTTAGTTTAGACTTTAGAAACAAACTGAGAAGGTTGGTTCTCCTCCACCCCTGCCCCAAAAAGAGTGTATTTTGTATGTATGCCAATTAAATTTGGATGATAAACGAGTATGTAGACAGACAGCATACAGAGTAGGACTGTTCAGCTCCGGGTTGGGGAAAACCTGGAGATTTTGGGGATGGAGCCTGCAGAGGGTGGGGTTTGGGAAAGGGGAGGGGTTATGGCTCCATGGTGGAACATCTCCTTGGCATGCAGAAGATTCCAGGTTCAATCCCTGGTATCTCCAGCTAAAAGGACCAGGCAGGAGATGATGAGGAAGACCTTGACCTGAGACCCTGGCTCAGTGGTAGATTGTCTGCCTGGCATGCAGAAGGTCCCAGGTTCAATCCCCGGCATCTCCATTTAAAAGGACCAGGCAGGAGGCAATGAGAAAGACGTCCCGTTGCGAACCCGAGGCTTTCCTCCGAAGATGCGGGGTAAAAAACTAGTACCTCCGAGGTACTCGTTTCTGGAAGCCGCGGGGCAAGGGCGGGTGTCTGATCGCGTTTCCGGTGGTAGGTCCTGTATTCAATCCCCAGCATATCAAAAGGATTTGGTAGTAAGTGGTGTGAAAGTTCCCTGCCTCAGACCTTGGAGAGCTGCTGCCAGTTGGAGTAGACAATGCTGGTCTTGATGGAGTAATGATCTGGTTCAGTCTAAGGCATCTTCTTGTGTTCTTGTGACATCTCTAGTGGAAAGGACCAGATAGAAGGCAATGTGAAAGGCCTCTGCCTGAGACCTTGGAGAGCCACTGCCAGTCTGAGTAGACGATACTGACTTTGATGGACCCAGGGTCCGAATCAGTATCACGGAGCTTCGTGTGTTCAAAAAGTCTCAGGAAAGGATTTCAGTTTTTGAGAACACGTGGTGTGAAACCTACAGTTTTTCTTTATTGCACAAAACGTCTGGGGGGGGGGACAAATACAAGACGGTCCAATGGATGACTTAAATGCTGGCTGCTTTCTGTTCGATGCAGGAAGACCTACTTGATTTTCTGCTTTCAAATCCCCGTCTGGTGCTGCAAACCACAGATGCCTGCCTGATGACCGTAGTTGGGACACATGGCACACAGGTGCAATGGTCACCTCCCGGTTGGATTACTGTAACTCTCTCTACGTGTGGCTGCCCTTGACTCTGCTTCAGAAGCTACAGCTAGTGCAGAACACGGCAGCGAGGGTGCTGACAGCGACGCCTGTGCGGGCGCACATCCGCCCGGTGCTGCGCGACCTGCACTGGCTGCCTATTGAATTCCGGATCCGTTTCAAGGTGCTGGTACTTACCTTCAAAGCCCTATATGGCCAGGGGCCAGCATACCTTCAAGACCTCCTCTCCCCATACGAGCCCTGTAGAACACTGAGGTCCACCAACCAACATCTTCTGGTGGTCTCCGGCCCCAGGGACGTCCGACTTGCCTCGAGCAGGGCAGTGGCCTGGTGGAATGAGCTCCCGTGTGAGATCGGGGCCCTGCGGGATTTATTACAATTCCGCAGGGCCTGCGAGACGGAGCTCTTCCACCGGGCTTTTGGTTGAGGCAGTGGGCGGCGGCGGCCCCCCCCCCTTGGGTTCCCTCCATCTGTAGCCTGGGTCCCTGAGACCTTAAATCTTAAGGATCTTTAAAACAAAAACTTAATTTTAACACCATCAACCACTGAGGTATCTAGCTTTTACTAGAGTCGTATGGCACATGTGAATTATGTTGTTATTATATAAAGGTAAAGGTAAAGGTTCCCTTGCTCGAAAGCCAGTCGAGCCCGACTCTAGGGTTGCGGTGCTCATCTCCGTTTCAAAGCCGAAGAGCCAGCGCTGTCCGAAGACGTTTCCATGGTCATGTGGCCGGCATGACTAAACACCAAGGTGCACGGAACGCTGTTCCCTTCCCACCGAAGCGGTCCCTATTTATCTACTTGCAATTTCTTGCTTTCGAACTGCTAGGTTGGCAGGAGCTGTTATTATATATTGTGTTCTAAAATGGTTTTAATTGTATTGTTGTTTTTACTGTTGGAGCCCGCCCTGAGCCCGTAAAGGGGAGGGCGGGATATAAATCCAATAAATAAAATAAAAATGATAAGTTGTTTTGCAGCAAAATGTGAAGCCTGCTTTCATTTCATTTCATTGGATGCAGGGGAAACTGTGCCTCGACACCCCAAGGAGGGAAGACTTGAAAACGGAGAGGCGGGTGGGGTGACTGGTAGCCAAGAGCACTGGGCTTGGTTTGCAAACCTCTGCACCCACCCTACCTGGCATGTTGTCCCGGATGAGGTGGGTCACTTCATCGGAGTCCAGCAAGTTCCTTCTGAGACTGGTTTGCACCTCCCGGAGAAGAGAACTCAGCATACCTGGAACGCAAAGGAAGA